AAAGGTATGCGAGGAAGCGAGGATTGGGCCGGGGCTGTTTCCATCCCCGCGGGGTGCTCATGCTCAGCGAAGAGTTCACGGATAGGCTCGTCGATGTGCTGCGCCAATTTGAGAGAGACCCGCAAGACCTCCTGCTGTTCATGACTAACATCGTGTTTCTGGGTAAGAAACACGATGTTAGTCATGAACAAGAGCCCTATTGGGCGAGCCCTATTGGGGTTCGCCCAATAGGGCTCTTGGCTTTCTTCGCGAAGATCTGGCCCAGGGTCCGTCGGCCGCTGTTCAAAAAGTGGGAGAAGGCCCACATGGACGAGGTGTTCTGGGGCGTGAGCAGCACCACCACGTGTGAGCGAGAGGGGTGGGTTCATAATCTTCCGGGGAGTTACTGCCGCAGTGTTGGGCTTGAGTCTGGAACCGCTCTTCTGGAACTGTCGAACTTCTACGAACGCACAGGGCGCGGAGACTTGTATCAGGCGGCGGTTCACTTTGTTTTTCCTGTTCGTCTGCATCGGTGCCTCTGCACGATTTATTATTGTCCTCGCACGCTGCTGCACGGAAGCGCAGTCTCCAACATTGTGCGCGCGAACGGGTCGGTCATTGCAGGGTGCAGCGGGGCGACGACGTTGGCTACGTTGCTTCTCTTCGGACCCCTGCTCAAGGCCAAAGAGGGGGCGCCGCAGCTATATCTTAGAAATGTGGTGGACGACATTCCCCTGCAGGTGTGTGGGGAGAGTATCCAAGTTGCTGCGGTTCTCAGCTCGGGGGTCGAGGCACTGCCCACGGACTCCGACCGCCTCGGCCTGCCAGTGGCCGTGCAAAAGACCAAGTATATATGCAGCGCCGAGGTGCGCGAGCTCATCCAAGGTCTCTGGCGGATCCCACCCTCGTCGCGAGTGGACACGGCTCGGAATATTGGCACTGGCGCGGCCTCTGGGTCATGCCGCAGAGTAGGGATTGCCAGGAGTAGGCTCGTCAGTGCCAAGTCCAGGGCTCGGAGGCCCCAGATTTTAAGAGATGCAGGGGCGGAGGTCGGCCTCATCCAAAAGAGTCGGGGCCCCTGCCGTGGCCCTTTGGGTCAGCCATGTGACGGGCATCCCCCCGTCCGTAATGCATGGTCTCCGTGTATCTGCTGCTCGGAGCATCGGTCGCCTCCCCAAGGGCTCCAGTGTGGGCCTTAGGCTCCACTCCATCAGGGTGGGGCTCCTGAGCGATCCCCTCGTGGCCTACACCCTGCGAAATGCTTAAGAAATCATGGGTTAAGAAATTCATAGTCTCAGAACTTGAACAAAAACCCAAGATTTCCATCAAAATCTTAAGATTTACATTGAAACGTTAAGAATAATCGAGACTCTGGCCGAAAACTTAAGTTTTCTTAAGCATCGCCTGAGGTGTACACGGGACACGTGGCGTTCCAATGGGCCACTGCGATCTGGGACACTTTTCCTTCGAGGCTGATCCTGGGGGCGACGATGGACCCGGCCATCGAAAAACTGGCTCGCTTCCGTCGCCCGTGGAGGGCGGCCTCGTCGCCTGCTGATGTGGCGTTTCTTTCCCTGGACAGGATTGGCTGGAGGTTTTTAACTAGCACGAGGCTTCGGGACGACCTAGGCTTTGTTTGGAACCTATGTCAGCTGTCGCCCAGCGAGGGCACAGATTCAGTGCACGAAGGGGCCGCCAGGGCGTCCGACAGGCTCGCGCTTGAAAACGTTGGGCGCCTCGGCAGAGTCGGCCCCCGTGGGCGCGAAGATGTGGTTCCGATTTTCTGGGCTGGCCTGGGTGCGCTCCTCAGGGGCAAGACCCTCTTGTGGAAGGCCCATCACCAGCGTGCGCTCCGCTCACTTGTATGCAATGTGCACTGGCCACAGGCCAGGGTGCACGGGCATGGCCTGCACCGTTCGGATTTGTGCCAACTTTGCAAGGAGGCCAAGTGGGCGCTGTTGCACAGGCAGTACGGCTGCCAGGCGCACTGCAGTGTAAGGAGGGATGCCTTAGGCCCCTGGAATGTGGCTCGTGCCCGCCGCGCCCTGGAGCGCGGGGAGGAGGTGGGCGAGCGTTTTGCCAGATGCGTGATGCCTAGCCCCGTGGCCTTCATTCCGCGCGAGCAACCCGGGGCCACGATCAGGTGGGTGAACAAGCCTGCCAGTGGGTTTCTCTCGGGCTGTATCTTCAGTGGCGCCTCGGCCTTGCGGCCATCTCTGCCAGGGGTCTGCAGGGCGGGCTGTGCGTTAGTGCAGGTTGACCCTCTGGGAAAGGTGCTGCACGCCGCGTGCGGCCCAGTGCCGTTCAGCTTCGGCCCTCGCCAGACTGCCAAGGATGGTGAGGATTTGGCGGTGCACATGCTCACACAAGCTGGTATGACCCCGTTTGTGCTGCATCTAGGGTGCAAGGCCACCCTAGAAGTGTTGCTCGGAGGACCAGGGTCGGGCGCCGCGGCCAGGTCCCCGAGGAGCCACATGTGGGGCCCTTTTTGGGTTGCCTTCGAGGGGAGCGATTTCCAGGCCCACAAGACCCTGGCCCACGCCACGCGATCTGATCTAGAGGCTGGGCGCACTTTCTCGATGGGAGAAAAAGGCCAATGCCAATGCTGACCAGTATGCGAAG